AAAGTAGGGAGCATTAAGGATTTTACGAAGGATTTTGGATTGTAGGGATTGGATACGAGAGGAATTTGATGGTTTAGTAGAGCCCCAAAGCTCAATCCCGTAAGTCCAAATAGGCCTCATTATAGTAATATATATGAGTCTTTTGTAAATAGTTGGCAGTTTAGAGCGTTTGTCTAGTAAGTGCTGGAGTAGTCGGAAACGTCGGGCAGTTTCTAGTCGTTTCAGTCTGGTATGCGGGTTCCAAGTGAGTCGTTTGTCAAGGTGGAGTCCTAGGTATCGGATTTGGTGAACAGGGATAAGTGGGGTATTGTTGAAGGATACTGTAGGACAGGAAGTCATAGGTTTACGACGATACTAAAGCTTAAAATGATCTAACATTTTTGTACATAACATTTTTTTCTAATCCCAACAGGAAGCTTACTATCGAGCTTACAAAATGGGTAAAAAAATCTTTACCACTACAACCCATGGAGGACTTCGGGTGCAGTACTATGTGAGGAAGTACTATTTCAAGACCAATATCACACTCAACCGCCTGGTTTTCTCCCTTATTTAATTTTTTAATAATGGATAGTCACTTTATAGAGGCTCGGTGTAGATCCTAATGAAAAATTACTGGTCATTAGCCGGATACGAATCCCGGACCTTGAAGCTCTAGAAGTCAGTGCTCACCCTCTGAGCTACCCCGCTCCGTTCAAAATGCCCGTCACATCGAATTGGCTACAGACAGACAGACAAATTTGATCCTTGATTTTTAAAATGTAAAACGCGAGTAGAAATGATTTATAGTACAATTTTTTTTTAACATCTTGCACGAATACAAACCTTCCCTACCTTTGCTAGTGAGGAAGCAAAACGAGGTTAATTTTTTTCATTGAAAAGATATTTTATAAATTCTTTGGATAAAGCTACAGTAAAACTTCCTTTTTTGTTGCATTTGGAACTGCAAACAATAAGCTCCAAGAAATAGGAACTCGGTTCAACCGCAAAAGATAACAGATACATCGATCTCTGGCAGTTCTACAGCCAACAGGGACATCATAAACTCAATCTTAATTACTGACAATTCTTGAGAACTTGTAACCGGTAGAAAGGAAAATCATATAACGATTCGTGACGGAGAAAGATATTCATTTGACGATAACGTTCTTATGAGCATCTCTTTCAACTCATGGTGGCTGTTATGACATGTAGTAAATAGATAAGGACTGATATACTGGCCAATCAGCGATTTGACTGATAGTACTGATGTACTGGTTATAAAGATCTTATTACTAAAAATATTCAACAGTCAATACTTCATTCAAGAAGGTCAAGCTTCATAAATATTATTATCATTTTTTCGGTTAAGTGCTCTCAATATCAGTATTTAAGATATAATAACTAAGCAAATATTGACAATTAAAATTTATGAAATGGTAAATAGTATGTTCCTCTTTAAATTGGCTATATAAATAAAGATACGTAAGTAGCGAAGTTGTACTCGGTTAATTTTTTACTAATCCTTAAGGAAATATAATTAAACTGTTTACATTCTCAGAACAAGTGATTACATAATAATATCTTAAATATCACTTTATTAATACGTGATCATTTTTTTTTTTTTTGTTTATCGTTTTGATAGGTTTTGTTAAACAGAAATGTCTTGTATTGACGACATTTTACCCTGAGACATCTCTTAGAAAAGCAAATGGGCAAATCAAAAAGACTAGATTTAATGTTCATTGGTCGTAAACCAATGACTTCCTTTCCTGCAGTTTCCTTTAACAATACTCCACTTATCTCTGTTGAGCAAATCCGATACCTAGGACTCCACCTGGACAAACGTCTAACTTGGAATCCTCATACCAGAATGAAACGACTAGAAAGCGCTCGATGTTTCCGATTACTTCAGCACTTACTAGACAAACACTGTAAACTTCCAATTAATTACAAAAGACTCATATACATGACTATAATAAGACCTATTTGGACTTACGGAGTTGAGCTATCGGGCTCCACTAAACCATCGAATTCCTCTTGTATTCAATCCTTAAAATCCAAAATCCTTCGTAAAATCCTCAATGCCCTCTACTTTGTTACAAATAAAACCATCCATAATGACCTTAATGTTTCTTATGTTTCAGATCTGGCCCAATCCATATACCTATCCTTCCATAATAAACTTCAGAATTATCCCAACCCTCTCGTTTCTAACCTTGCTTTCTGATAACCCTTGAATTCCTGATAACCCTCCGAGGCGTCTGAAAAGAAGATGGCTCCGTGATTTTCTAATGTAGACATATCATTAGAGTGCTACAATTGGGTAGTTACTCAGCAAGTTTTTTCATGTCATTATATCCATATGTTCAATTTTACTAGATGTATTTATATAATACAGTTGTAAATATCATTAAGAAATATTTTTAAAAAATTCATTGATTTGAAAAAGGCATGCGATAGTGTGCCACACAAACTCCTATGAGTAGACTTGAGGTAGGCTGGGAATAGACCAAGGAATCGTGTGACCTAATTAGAGAAATTTATTGAAATAATATTCCCCAGATAAAAATAGTTTCATTATCCATGGGATTTCAAAATGGAAAAGAGTTGCTACAAGGATGCTGCATATCTCCCACTCTATTTAAAATATACCTTGATGAATGTCTAAATGGATGGATGAAGAAATGTGGGAAAATGGGCGTCGAGTGAAGAGGAAAAAACCTAAGCCATTTATTATTTGCTGATGCGCAAGGTTTTGATTGCACAAGAAGTATATCTTTTGTTGAAACTAGCTTCGTATTGTGTTCGCTATTGCTCAGTGAATATGGAAAAAAAATATTTTTCATTATCGGCATATTTTGTTGTATTATTATTTTTTTTAAAATAAGCGTGCTGCAGAAGCTCATAGCAAAATTAGCAGTGTTTATGGGGATGATGCCTTAACCGAAAGCACCGGTGAAGATTGGTTTGCCAAATTTCATTCACGAAATAGAAACGAGCAATGTTAAGACCATTGTTGATCAAAATCCCACCTAATCAGTGCGAGAAATTAGCTCTATATTCCAGGCTCAATGTTTGGGTCCCTCACGTGATTTTTTTCTCTCGAAAATAACAAAACATTTTATAACTTCAATACGACTTTCGCTATCTACAAGAAATTCAGCAGGAATGTAGGATTACATAAACTCCACGAAATGACATCAACAGAATCTTCGTAAACAAACTACAAGTTGAGATAAAAAATAAAAACTTATAAGAAGTTTTGTTTAATTATTCCTAATGTAGGCATCAAATAAAAAAAAATACATACGGCTTTAAAGAACAATAATACAGCTTTCCAACAGATATTGTAACATCAAATTTGGAGAACATCCTGAAGAGTTACGGATGATCAAAAGAATGTTGTGTTCCACCAAGACAATGCTAGGCAATCATTGATCACTCGAAATAAATTATTGAGCCTTGGATGGGACCTTTTGCCCCACCCTCCCTATTCACCAGACCTAATTCTAAGAGACTATTCCGGTCTTTGCAGAACTCCATCAATTGAAAGAGATTCCAAAAGGAAGAGGACATCAAAAGCCACTTGGATTAGTTTTTTAGCAATAAACATTCTAAATGGCACTGTGCAGTTAGTGGAAAGATTGGAAAAAGTAATATATAATGGTCAATATATTGTAGGTTTACTAAATATTATGTTTATAATACATTGTGTTTTATTTCATCCTGAAAAACCGAAAGGATTTATTTATATATTGTATTATTATTTTAAATGCATCTACTTTTGGTTTATTATTTGCAATAATGAAACATTGTGATCGACCAAAAAATTCAAAAACTTAACCCCCTCTCAAAATTTGAGGTTTCACGTTTCAGGACGCATAGAATTCGAAAAACGAATACAATTTTTTTTGTCCGTCAGCCGTCCGCCGTACGCTGTACTCCGTCCGCGCATTTTCTCCGAAACTACTGGACCGATTTTTTTTCAAATTTTGATATAAAATCAGAGGTCACCCGAGGATGATCCTCCTTCATCGACATTACTCTCCGCCTTTAACTTTCAAAATGGCGGCCGAAAAACCTGCGTTGCTATAGACTGTAGCTCCTAAACGAATGTACATATTTCAATGAAAATTCGCTAAAGTCATTTTCTCGACGCCCTTTAAATTTATCTATATAACACAATTCAACGAAAAGAAGCTGGAAAAAAAGTTACGAGGGATGGTAAAATTAAATTCCGAATAACTCGAAAAGTTATTACTTTTTTGTTGATATTGTGATGAGGTGTTTCAAAGGTATTTAAATTTCCTAAAAAATGAAGTAAGTTTCATCGAAATCAAAGCACTATTAGTAGAGATATCGCGATTTTTACATACTTTGGTTTATTATTTTCAATAATGAAACATTATGATCGACCAAAAAATTCAAAAACTTAACCCCCTCTCAAAATTTGATGTTTCACGTTTCAGGACGCGTAGAATTCGAAAAACGAATAAAAATTTTTTTGTCCGTCCGTATTTTCTCCGAAACTACTGGGCCTATTTTTATTGATGATATTGTATATGGTTTTTTAAAAGTTTACGAAATTTTCTAAAAAAAAAAATCGGACAATTAGGAGCAAAGATATGGTCTCCGATTTTTTAAATATGTTCTACTCCAAAGGTTATATCCTTGGTTTGGTTTTAAAATTTTGAATGTGTAACTGAAGTAATGCTTTTTTTTTTTTTTTTTTTTTTTTTTGCATATTAGCAATGATTAAAAAAGAACTTTAGTCCAATAATTGGAATCACCTTTTGTTTATTTTTCTTTGTAACTTGGAAGGTAATGTTACTTTAGATGTATAATTGTTTGGAAATAATAAATCATTGTGAAATAATTTGCAGCGTTTTTTGTTTGTAATTTGGAAGGTTATGTTACTTTAGATGTATAATTGTTTAGAAATAATAAACCATTGTGAAATAATTTGCAGCGTTTTTTTTTTTTTTAATTTAAGTTTGTGATAATTTTGTTCACAGAAAATGCATCGAGCACACCAGGTAGTGAACGGTTTGGTTCCATTCCTCCCTCGCGCCGCTGGAAACAAGAGGTTCGCAGTATGGCTTCGCCAGAGCTCCACTACCAGCAGCTCGAATCCTAACCAACCAACTGGACCCAGGAAGTATGCCACTGCTTCTGCCGTCAAAGAAGAACCTTTCCTCAATGGATCTTCTTCCACCTACATCGAGGAAATGTACGCTTCTTGGCAAACTGATCCGCACAGTGTTCATAAGGTACTTAAATTTGTTCTCTTCCACCCTTACTTGAATATCGTTATTTTGCATTTATCTAGTACAAGGTATCTTTCGGCCCGAAAATAATTATTCTGTAAAGTTAATTTCCGCAATTTTTTTAAGCCATTCCGATGGGTCCTCAAAATGCTTTGTACTTTTTTATTGCCATAGAATGAGCCAATTCTGAGGGCTTTCATATGATAATTTTGTATTTATCTAGTACCGTTATAAGTTTGCTCCCAAAATAAACCGTATCCATACATATATTATTACAGTAAGGCTCGAAATCGGTTTTGTACCAAATATAAGCTCCTGTCATGCTCAAATACCATGGATGGGGTACCGTTGGGTTCAGAATTTCTCGGGGGATTAGCAAATCGTATTCTCCGCTTTTGTTTTTCTTTCTAAAATAAATAAAGTCGATATAAACATTTTGCTAGGCTTCAATACTGGAGCGGTGGTAGGTATGTAGATCGATGCGGGACAAATTGGATCTTGAAGATTTTGATGCGTACAGCAAGACCCTGATAGTTCCTCCGGAACTATCGGATCCTCCGTATTTAAGCCCAAAAACGTACTATTTTCGAGATAACGCAAGGCATGGGGTTCGCATCGACACAACCTTACATTAATTGTAGTACTGTCATTGAATACATGTCTCATTTCGTCGACTTGAGGTCTCTATGATCGAGAGAGGAGGAGTTTATATTATTTATCGATGGTGTTTTTGATCGGCAAGCCATATCATCGTTAATTCTTCACCAAATCTCAAGATTGAGCCACCAATTTCGAAAGCTTCCTTTGTCCTTCAGGCGGACAAAATAGTCCAATCACCCCGAAAATTCAGGCAAACAAGTTATAAAAGAAAACAAACTTTATTTGCGAATAACCAAAAAATTACACACTTTTCTCTTGGTTATGCCCATGATTATATAAAACATTACTTAATTGTCTATAAAAGGGGAAAAAATCATAGAAATCAGTCAACTTTTCGCAAAGATACAGCTCATTGAAATTTGTAAATATGTTGGTTCCAAACAAAAATTTAGATTTAAATTAATTTTGTTTCCTTTGTCGATTATATTTCTTGGTAAAGTAACAATTGATTACTTTATCTTTTGATACGTTGCATTATTTCATTTTCTTATTAATTTGGCATTTGATAACAATATGCTGTGCGAATTTTTTCACGGGCCTACTAGTTATTTTGTAAATGTAATATATATTTAAATCCCTGATAAGGATTTAACGGAAACAAGACAGGCCTGGATACCATAAATAACCTAATAAAAGTTTAATTGTAAATAATTTGTTTTGGCAGGAATTGCGAATAGCCGGTTTTTATCGGGGAACTAGGTTATTTACACTCGTGATTATTAAAACAAAACCCCGGCACTGGATATAGACTTTTTGAGGGTGTTTAACTGTCGTTGGGAATTCGGGAATCTAATACCTTTTGTGACACTGAGTGACAAGAAACAATAAGAATATATATATATATATATATAATGTGGGACTTAGTAAATACACTTTGAATGAATTGACTCACCTAGTTTGTTGTTCTTCAATCGTGAGGCATATAGGACAACTAAATAAATAAATGACTTTTCACTCCTGTATAACAAAATAATTTATTTCTACAACTGTAATAAATTGGCTCTTTTAAAGTGTTATAACTATAAACTTGATCTAAATCTTGTAGACTGAATGTCCCAGCCTCAAGTCCTCTCACCTCCGGGTCTCAGCCTCAAGTGCCTTCTCTCCTCTTCTCCGTCGTTCTCCAGCTGTTGCTACTTGCTCGGTCCTTTCGGTACCTCCAACCTTCTTCATCGATTGTTTATCGATATGAGACTTTTCAATGAATAATTTGTCCACTGCACAATTGAGTATAATTTACAGTGCAACCTCACATTCCTATATATTCCTTCTCATTCCCTCACACAAAGAAGTAAATACAGGGGGCTATCTACTACACCATGCTCGAGGTTTAGAGCGAATGTTAATAATTTGATAACATTTATTGAAAAAGCTCAGAATTATTGGCTAAGTAATGATATATAGTTCGTCCTGAACAACTCATTGAGCCCCAAATACAGATATATAATAAGTATGAGGTATCCAACCTTATTTAAACATGAAAATATCAATAGCTAAAATCAGATTGGTTGCTCAAATAATCGAGACATCGAGAAGCTATCTTGACAAAAAAGTCATCGACATCCAATCAGAAGAGAACTGTCCAGTGTGCGAAAAAAGTAAAAACAATTTTCCATCTCCTTAGCAATTGCCCTATCTTTAATGATATTAGAAGGAAAGTTATAGATACCATAGAGCTATCGGTAAATTGTGTGGAAGCCATCTTAAGAGTAGAAAACAGAATAAATTTCAATAAATTGTATCACTATTTCTGCCGTACTCTTAAATTAAGAAACTTAATAGGATATATAAAAAAATATGACAGTTTTATGAACTTCAAGATTTTAAAGGACTGTAAATATTGTAATCTTATTTAATTCTCACCAATAATTAACCGCCTTTAGAGCATTCTCTAAACTTGTTTAATTCCATTCGACTTCTTTAAAAAAAACTCACTTAAGTTATTTGTTTAAAAAAAGAAACATGACATTTTCCTACGAAATTCTCGTAATTTTAAGACGTTACTGGAATATTTTCACAACCACTGAAGCAACTCGTGAAATTATTAAATATGAAGTGAAAATTGTCCTTGGCAAGCGCACTGCGCGGCGTTGGTTTGAAAAATTTAACAGTGCAGATAAGACACTAGAAAGGAAGGACTTCGGGCGACCATTATTGGATATTGATGAGATTCTGCAAGAAGCTGTTGAGTCATATCCGTCCACTTGTACTCGCAAACTTACCAGGGAATGTGTTGTGTTGAAAGATTCTGTTATTCGCCATCTACTCTCCACGAGGAAGGTGAAAAAGAACAGTAGACTGGTCCTTCACGAACTTACTCCTCAGCAATAAGATAAAGGTTAGAAATTTGTGAACATTTATTGAAAAACCCTTCTGATATGAGATTCCTGCCCTCATCCACCATATAGTCCAGACCTCGCCCCATCGCATTACTACTTGTTTGGATCCATAACCCATTTTCTTCAAATGAAAAAAATTGATGCTTTTGCAGAAGTTGAAATTGCGGTCCAAGAGTTCTTTGACAGCCATCTCAAAGAATGGTATCAGCGTGCAATCGATTAATTGGCTAGCATATGGCTAATGACGGTAGATAACAATGGAGTATAGTTTAAATATTAATTGTATTTTATATCAACGAAATAATAAAGCAAATATTTGGTTGAAAAACAGCTATTTTTTTAAACATGGTATTATTATTAGGCTGAGAAGAATTAGCTGAAGAAGAACCCTAAGGAAGTTTCAAAACAGGAAAATTTTGTTTCACTAAATTGTTCTGTTCCATTGTATTATTATGTTTTATTATATTATTTATTGTACTGTATTGGGGCTGAAAACGTAATTGCACAACCGTATGACCATTGTCATTGGTTCCAAGCCCCTTCTTAGATCCTATACCGACTTTCCCATACTAAACCTTGATGACCAGCCAATCTCCTTCTATTCCTCTGTCAAAAATTTAGGATTTTTCATTGATCAAACCCTCTCCTGGAATCACCACTTTTCTCACATCTTCCGATGGACAATTTCTACCCTCAAACTATTCCATCGCTTCCGCCATCTCCTACTTCAACATACGCGTAGACTCCTCGTTTCCTCTCTCATCTTCCCCCACTTTGACTACAGCTATATGGTGTATGATGGACTCTGGGTGGAGCTCCGTGACAGACTGAAAAGACTTATGAAGAGCTGCGTAAGATTTGTAACTGGTGCCCCGAGATACTCCCAAGTGTCTCACCACTGCACTGAATTAGAGTGGCTCTTCCCCTCCATTCGAAGACAATATTTCCTAGGTACGTTCCTCTATCAAATCATCAACGATCATCGTCCTTCTTACGGCTACAATCTTCCCCAATTTAAGTCCATATTGCTCGCTCTGTCAATTTCTGGAATTCCCTCCCTATCAAAATTCGGCATTCTCCCTCCCTATCTACATTTAAAACCCTCCTATTCCAATTTGTATCCCAAACATCAGACGCCTTCCACTAACCTTTTATGTAAATTTATATATTATTCGAAATAATTCACATAATGGTATATTTACATATAATTCATCACTTAAATACTTACTGTCAGATTCGTCTTTTTTCTTCAGAAACAGAGTTTATTGCTATACCGAATGTAATGCATTTTTTTTTTTAAGTGTATACTTATGTTTTACCACTCTACATAGTTTTAAGTGTCTCAGTACGGTTTCAAGTGTTTTGTATACAGATTTTTGTTTTTATTTTGTACATAGTATGTTTAACTAATATTTTCTTTACTTTTTTCTTTATTTTTACTTTTTATGTTTGTTTTTACTTAGGCCAGATATAATATTTTAATTTTGTACTTTTTATTATTCTAAAGGGACTTCGTCCCAGAGTAAAATTATTTTTCTATTCTATTCTACATTGATGGAAAAAAGTATTTGCACAACACGTTTTTATGAATAAAGTAGTTCAAGGAAACAAAAAACTTCGCTTTCCTTTGCAAAAATGAAAAGTAAATTTATTAAAAACTTAAAAAAACCATTTTTCAAAAAAATAAAAACACTTCATAATCAAACAGAATAATTAAAACAATAAAAGTGCTTGGAAAAAAGTATGTGCACACTTCCACATTTACAAGTTTATTTCAAATTTTAATATTTTATAAATAGGCTATTTGCGTCAATAATTGCTTGTAGACGTCTGGGCATTGAATGCAGTAGGTTTTTAATTAAATCTAGTGATATGGTGTTTTCTTACATTTTGGTCAAGAGTGGGCCAAAAATTGTCAATGATATTTATATCTGGTGACTGAGGAGGAGTGTGGAGCTGTCTTGGAACATTAAATATTAACTACTCCTTTGTTCTCCTCGCAGTATGTTTTGGATCGTTGTCCTGCTGGAAATAGTACGGATCCTGGATTCCCATTTTATCAGCATTAACACGAAAATTACGTCGCAAAATGTCCACATAGCCTTCCGCATTTAAAATACCTTCGATGGTCACAAGATTTCCAACGCCATGGTAGGAAACACACCCCCAAACCATAACATTTCCTCCACCATGCTTTATAGTTGTTAAAACATTTTGCTTCTTTAGGGCTGCCGCCATATCGTCCTTCGACCATCTGAACCAAACAAATTAAATTTGCTTTCGTCAGAAAAGATGACATTTTCCCAAAAGCTTAAGGGTTTTTGTACGTACTCTCTAGCAAAAGAAAGGCGCTTTTTGCGATTCGTTTCACTGATGTATGTCTTCTTTCTTGGAGCTCTACCATGGAGCCCTTCCGAATTCAGGGCATATCTAATTGTTCTGCTTGTAATCTGAACTCCAGACGTTGATTGGACCATGGTAGCCAGCTCCCGAGAACTTATCAGAGCATTTTTAAGAGCTTCTTTTCTGATTTTCCTCTTCAGCCTGGGAGCTAACTTTTTTGGACTCTCTTTATACTCACGGTTTTCAGTTGAACCACGTTCTTCATACCTTTTTATGACGTATCTCACTGTAGAAAAATTCAATCCTAAGAAATCGGCAATTTGGCGATATGTTTTTTGCTGACTCCTCAATAAAACAATTTTTTCGCGAGTTGCGGCACAGAGTTCACTTGTCTATTGACTAAAGGAAACTGATTGAAAGACTAGAGAATACTGGTAATACACGATTAGAGATAAATTAGTAAACAAACCTATGACCTATGGACACAGGAGGATTAATGCCAAAGTAAACAGAGCTTGTGAGTCATAGTGTGCAAATACTTTTTTCCAAGCACTTTTATTGTTTTAATTTTTTTGTTTCATTATGGAGTGTTGTTATATTTTTCCAAAAGGTTTTTCTCACTTTTTAACAAATGTACTTTTCAGTTTTGCAGAGGAAAGCGAAGTTTTTTGGTTCCTTCAACCCATTTATTCATAAAAACATTATATGCAAATACTTTTTTCCATCACTGTATGTATTTTATCAATGAGGATGTTTCTTCAACAGAAGTTAAAAATGTTAATTTAAGAAGTTTGAATTGTTAATTAAGTCATTCAATTAGTTTTGACTTCTGAGCAATAGAATTATTATTATAAAGAGGGGTCTGTACCACGGAATAGTATTTATCCATAGCCATTACACTTGTTTATATTAGATATATTTTTGGACTTTATTAATTATTTTTGGATATATTCGCCTGTTGAACTTTATTAACTTGTCTTTAGTCGTGGGATGTGTTCTTCCGAGCCAGCTCGGCAGGAGCTGCGCCTGGAGAGGCTTACACTAGACCTCCTACTCTGGCTCAACCTGAAGTAAGAAGTCTGGTCCCCGCTACATCTCCTGTAACTAGTGGTGCGCTCTTCGGTTCCCAGGTATCGGAAAGGGTCATTGATGACCATCTTGCAGTGCAAGCTATCGTCAGGAGTTTTCAGGTTAGAATACATTTTTATATATTTATTTATACATCCGCTTAAAGCGGACCCTACACGGTCATTCGGAATTGCACTAATGACGTTCCGAATTATCGTGTAAGGTAGTGAACGAAGTACTGATGGTGGTGCGCTGTTGATTTCCGAACATCCGGAAATCAAAGGTTCATTCACGAGAAGTGGAGGGGAGACTGAGGTAAAAGTAGTGGGGAGACTAACCATACTACTGGATAGGTTAGGTTACCTAGGCCTTAACCATTATAAATTTCTGATTTTTATTATATGTAAATAGTTAAATAATTTTTCATATCCCTTGTTTATAATTTAAAACCATCTTCAACTATTTCTTTTAAATAGTCAAGTGGGCAACAAATTAAAAAAAAAAATGAGGAAACTTCACAATTTACTTTAAGAAAAAGTCCGTGGTTGTAGCGCCCTTACTCAATCTCCGCTGGCTTTCAATGCCAGTGAAATGGTTGAGGAAGAAGCGCAGGGATCTCCTGAAGCCTTGCTTTCCCTCCATGTGTGGGGGGATAAGTATGGTTCGGAGTTCCTATGGCCAACTGTAAATAGTGTAAATAGGTATGCCTGCGTCTAAGATGTTTATTTTCAATACTTTTTTTTTTCTCACTATGATATTTTATTTTGTTCTTTTGTAGCTTTATATTATTTGAAGTTAGCTTATTTTTTTTAATTTGTAAATATGGTGTGAATGTGCTCTCAGAACTTTATTATAAATGTCCTTTATTGAGACAGATTGTAATATTTATCAATAAAAAAAAAAAAAACTTTAACGTTGTGTATATTTATCAGTTCTTTTCCCATTTTCCTCAACAAATTTATTATTTTCGCAATACCTTTTCTTAATTTTTGTAAGTAGTAGACTTATATTTTACTTACTTTTGTCAAAACTATTTTCTATGAGACTACAACTAGATAGGTTAGTTTACCTAGGTCTCGTTATTAAGTAAATAGTTGTTTATATCCCTAGTTTATATTTTTATTAACCATTTTCAACTATTTTTTCTTTAAATAGTCAAGTAGGCAATAAATTGAAGAGAAAAAAAAGTGGAAACTTCAAAATTTACTTATAGAAAAAAAATCTTTTACTGTTGTGTTTATTTGCCATTAATTTTTCCATTTTTCTTAACAAATTGATTATTTTCGCAATACTTTCCCTAGATTTTTGTATGTAGTTGAATTATATTTTTCTAACTTTGGTCTAAACGATTTTCAGGCACTAGGAAGTAATTATTATATCTCCGTTTTTCTCTAATTAAGAAAACGTCTGCCAAGTAATATAAATGTTGGGGCCAGGGGTATTTCAAAATTAAAATACAAACCTTTCCACGGCATACAATTTTATGAAGAAAATAATAATTACGAAGGAAATAATGGTTATACTTTCTCGTATTTTATTTTATGCGCGATAAAAATTTCTTTTTAATTTTCCTTTACAACAAATTTTAAAAAATATATATTTACAAAAAAAGTTTTATGAAGGGGATAATGGATATAATTTCTTATATTTTATTTTATACTGGATAAAATCTAAACATTTTTTTTTTAAATTTTATGAACTAGAAAATAAAAAATAAAACATGTATATAGAATCATGGTTTTATGGACGAAATGATAATCATACTCTAATTAAAGAAGATATAATTGCAATTTATTTGTCTAGAAAGCAACTGAAGTTCAATATTTCATATCAATATACAGTAAAAATAATTGTAAATCAATTCTAAACTTCATTCATAAAAATATAACCTTGCATCGCATACGTCAGCAAAAGTTATGTACGTGGTACGAGGCTGGTCTATCCTCGTACCTCGTACAAATACGAGGATCCTCGTACAAACAGCAATGCTGTATCCATGTGCGAATTTACCAGATGTATTTTTTGTATACAGTTGTAAATATCATATAAATAAATAAATAAAGAGATCATTCTTTTCATAAAATATTGTTATATTTTACATTTTTTTTTGGGGGGGGGGATGATGGCTTCAGCCTGAAAGCTTCCCCTCATAGATCTGCTTATGATGCTGGCTGGCTAGGAGTATAATCTATTGGAACTTTTAAAAATATAGCTTCACATCTTGATTCTTATCTGTTATTATTTTTTGTTCAGTTCTTCTATAAGTGTTTTGATAACAATATTATCAAAAACATGATATTAGAATGTTGTAACAACCCTTTCGTTTCTTATCTTGTGTAATTAATCATTTACAGCTGTTATGTAAATTGAACAAGATGTTAAATTTAAACATTAAAAAAAATTCCTGAACTATAGCCTGATTCTATGATTAAATAATACAGAACAAAATAACATTAAAGCGGCCTGCAGGCTAATGTATAATTTCCTGTGATCTGGTAAAAAATTCAAAACCGCATAAAAATAATAAAGCAGACCCTTCACAATCAATAATGAATGACAAGGGGTGCTTCAATCACGATTAGGATTGTAGGGACAAGTATCAATCAGACTGACGCTTTTTTAGATAACAAGCAGTGTGGATCTGGTGCATTCCAGAGTTGGGCGTTAGCGCGCTAATTTTTAACTAGCTAACGTAGCGCTAAACAGCTAAAATTAGCGGCGCTAAATATTACGCTAATTTAGCTTCCAGCTGTTTTAGCGCAGATAACTTTAGCGCTAAATTAGCTATTAGCGGAAACGAACCGCTAACTTTTAGCTTAAGCTAAATTATCTATTAACTTAACTAAAAGCTAACTTAACGCTAACACTAGAAGAAATTTTATTTATTTCATTTTCTTAATTGATATTAGGATCGGCTGTTATGTAATCAGGGGCGCTTTTTATGAAATAATGTCGGATTTTAGGTGTGCCCTCTTCGCCCCCCCCCTCCGGGCACAAACTTTTTGTAACTTTTCTGATTTAATCGATATATGGGTCGACTATTAGATATTAGGGGGCGTTTATTATAAAAATATTGTCAGATTTTAGATACGGCTCCCCGCCCCCCTGCCCCCCGGGAACCGACTTTTGTTACTTTTCTGATTTAATCGATATCAGGGCCGACTATTAGGTTTTGGGGGGCGCTTTTTATGAAAATAATGTCGGATTTTAGGTGTGACCCCTCCCCCCCTCGGTCACCGACTTTTTGTAACTTTTCTGATTTAATCGATATATGGGTCGACTATTAGATATTAGGGGGCGTTTATTATAAAAATATTGTCGGATTTTAGATACGGCTCCCCGCCCCCTCCCTCCCCCGGGAACCGACTTTTTGTTACTTTTCTGATTTAATCGATATCAGGGCCGACTATTAGGTTTTGGGGGGCGCTTTTTATGAAAATAATGTCGGATTTTAGGTGTGACCCCTCCCCCCCCCCGGGCACCGACTTTTTGTAACTTTTCTGATTTAATCGATATATGGGTCGACTATTAGATTTTAGGGGGCGTTTATTATAAAAATATTGTCGGATTTTAGATACGGCTCCCGCCCCTCCCCCCGGGCACCGACTTTTTAAACTTTTCCGATAGAATCGATATTAGGGTCGACTATTATGTTTTGGGGAGCGCTTTTTATGAAAATTATATCAAATTTGAGATTGGGCCCCCCGGACCTCGACTTTTTTAAACTTTTTTGATTAAATCGATATCAGGGGCAACTATTATGTTTTGGAATTCGCTTTTTATGAAAATATATCAAATTTGAGATTGGGCCCCCCGGGCCTCGATTTTTTTGATTAAATCGATATCAGGGTCAACTCTTACGTTTTGGGGAACGATTTTTGTGAAAATGATATCGAATTTGTGATTGGGCCCTCCGGGCCTCGACTTTTTTAAAACTTTTTAAATCAATATATGGATCGACTATTAGCTTTTCGGTGGGGCTTTTTATGAAAATAATGTCGGATTTTAGATAGTGCCCCCGGGTACCGACTTTTTGTAACTTTTCTGATTTAATTGATATATTGGTTGACTATTAGGTTTTCGGGGACGTTTTTTATGAAAATAATGTCGGATTTTAGATAGTGCCCCCGGGTACCGACTTTTTGTAACTTTTCTGATTTAATTGATATATTGGGTGACTATTAGGTTTTCGGTGATGTTTTTTATGAAAATAATGTCGGATTTTAGAGAGTGCCCCCGAGCACCGACTTTTGGTATCTTTTCTGATTAAATTGATATATAGGTTCGATATAATCCGAAATGTTACAAAAAGTCGGGCCCCGGGCAAATCCAACATCATTTCCATAAAAAGCGCCCCCCCCAAAACCTAATAATTGACTCTAATATCACTTAAATCTGTAATGTTACAAAAAGTCAGAGCCCGGGGGCACTATCTCAAAATTCATGAAAATGATTCGTATTCCGATATCATTTTCATAAAAAGCGAATTCCAAAACATAAGAGTTGACCCTAATATCGATTTAATCAAAAAAGTTTAAGAAAGTCGAGGTCCGGGGAGCCCAATATCAAATTTGATATCATTTTCATATAAAGCGCTTCCCCAAAAACGTATTAGTTGACCCTGATCTCGATTTAATCAAAAAAGTTAAAAAAAGTCGTGCCCGGGGAGCCCAATCTCAAATTTGATAACATTTCTCATAAAAAGTTCCCTCCAAAACATAATAGTCGACCCTAATATCGATATAATCAAAAAAGTCAAAGCCCGGGGAGCCCAATCTCAAATTCGATATCATCTTCATAAAAAGCGCTCCCGAAAACTTAAGAGTAGACCCTGATATCCCCATTTAATCTAAAAGGTTAAAAAAAGTCGGGGCCCAGGGGGGTCACACCAAAAATCCGTCATTATTTTCATAAAAAGCGCCCCCCAAAACCTAATAGTCGGCCCTGATATCGATAAAATCAGAAAAGTTACGATAAGTCGGTTCCCGAGGGGGAGGGAGGTCTCACCTAAAATCCGACATTATTTTCATAAAAAGCGCTCCCCAAAACCTAATAGTCGGCCCTGATATCGATAAAATCAGAAAAGTTACGATAAGTCGGTTCCCGAGGGGAGGGGGGAGGT